GGGGACAGAGCTTTTCAATCTACATATCTTCCAGGAGCAATTTTGAGATGTTTGCCTATCTAAGGCCATCGGGGAGGCCAAATACTGATTAGCAACAATTGTCTTGGGCAGGCCGACTCTACTGATTTCACGTCTGCCTTCAGTTCTGCTGATACACTCAATGGCAAATCCAAACAGCCAGAGCTGTGGACATTCCCCTGGTTTGACGACATTCCACTGGATGACTGAGAATCTTCACCAGCATATTCCACTGGTTCGTGCTTGTTAGCCTTCTCCAAGGTTGATTCCTTCATGCCGGTGAGCCCTACGAGCTGCAATTGGTCCACGGTTCTCAGAAATCGCGTCCAGCTTACGGTTCAGCTCGCAAAGCATATTAGTCTGAGAGCTCGAAACACGGCGTAATCCTTCATATAAGACAGGCAGATTTACTATTGCCGAAACTGCTGTCGACCTCTTCCTCATTAGTCAATATCCCAGGTATCCGCCAATTCCAAAAAGCAGAAACCCTGTTATCATAAATCCAATTATGTATGTGTCTGCTATGTCGTCAACAGACAGCAAGACAAGAACATCATCTTCTAAACACCCCAGGAATCCATGATATATCCAGTTGCATGTGTCCTTTCAGGGCATGAGGGTTCTTCTGCACCATGTCTTCTAGTAGAGAAAATTTTATTAATTGCGTTGAGAGACCAGTTCCATAATAATTTTAGATTCATAAAATGTGTAAAGAGAGGCTCTGAAATTCACAGGACAAAAGCAGAGGCAGGAGAGGGAAAGAGAGCATCCATCTTCGTCGAGAGCGAGAGAGAAAGAGTACATTACTCATAAACTATTGGACAGATTTTAATGAGAATTGCAGAAAGCATTCATTAGATGAACTTTTGTCGTTTTTGGCAAATACATTTCCAAACCAGAACCCAGAATACTGAAACTGAACAGAAAAGATTATATGAAAGCAAAGGTTAAAAGTAAGTTTATTTATAGGGGGTTAGGAATGCTGGGGACTGGAAGATGGGATATTAATAATTATTATTATTATTATTTAGGACAATAAATGTTGTCCTTTATTTTAAAATATAGAACAATTTTTTTTATATATATTTGCTTTTAGCTAAAAAGTTCAACTAGGTCATGCTTCTAAAAGCTTTTAGGTAACATTTTATAGCTTTTAGCTTCAGGCTAGCATTTATTTTGATGGTGCTGATTTAATTTACAAACCTTAAAAACAGTGTTTTGTTCTCCACAAACTAGGCTCACTGTTTTGTCACTGACTTCCGTAAATAAACATTTGGATGTTTGTTTGTTGGTAAAAATGTGACATTCTGCATTGGTCTTTATATTTTTCCATGCGCTAGAACAAAACTCAAATCTCTCACCAACTTTACGTCCCAGTTGCAAAAGTCTGTTTAAATTTTAGTTTTTGGATTAACGTGCAGAAATAGTTATATTAGATTATCATTATTCATTGACCTCCCGCTCCCGCAGGCCGGATGGAGACAGTTAATGGGCCAGACATGGCCCATGGGCCATAAGATGCTCATGTGTGATCTATGTGCATTTTTGTTTGTGGTGTGAAATTATGGAATGGAGGTAAAGTAATGTCCAAGAATATGAAGATGAATCTGTTTCAGAGTATTCACAAAAGCATACAATGAGATGTGTATGCATACGACAGAATTCACAAATGCGTATATAGATTTTCAAATGCACAAATTTCAAACTGCACAAGTATGCTGCACTTACAAATTGTTAATGCTCATACATGAATGCCCTGCTGTGATCACTCATTGTTTGCCTGCACATGTGACTTTCAGATTCATAATGTAATGCTGCGTTCAAGGCTGGTGAAAAGCTAGGACATCTGGGGTTGCCTTTACTAGAGTTATTAGAAACAATGTATTTCTGACTTGGCACATTATCATAATCTTCTTTATTAAAACACACAGACGTTTACGTTACTGAAATCCAAAAATGTGAACTTTGTGGACTATACAGCTGAAATAAACAACTAGACACGCAACGTTCACAAACGATCCGTATCGTTTGAACAGCTCTTTACAACGAATGATAAGAACTGAGTTGCAAACAGAAAAAAAGTTGTTACTAGTTTTATTTTTAACTCATAATTTCTTCATGTTTTCTTCCTTAACCACAGAGGCATTCGTTCCTTCTTCGCATTTCCCTTTTTCACTGAGACGAAGGAGGATGAGCAAAGGGAAGGATTTCATTGCACTGTAATGGGATTTTTCTCTTGACAAAACATGTGGTACAGCCCTGACGATATGCGTCATCACATATGCCGTATGATGACATCACTGCCGTTAACAAAATTAAATGATTCCATTGACGGCTCTATGAAGGGAACAGATCGTCAAGATCTGATTCACTTCAAAGAATCATATATTCCATCTCAACAACCAAAAAAGAGATAGGTTATTCTTCTTGAAAAAAAAAAACAGTCCAACACATTGAGAGTATCATTGCCCTCCTGTGGCAGCACCCTATCCTCCACCAGTGGACACAATGGTGAGGGTCCATTGTCTGAAGTATGAGCTAAACACAGAAAGCAGAAGGCAACAATTGTTTCTGATGGGATTAAACAGGGTAATACCATTTATTATCCTAAATAACGTGGAACAGAAGCTACTCATGTCAGACATGGATAATGCCTGCCATATTTCAGGGTGATTTTCCAAAAACCTGAGCCATGGGTCTCCTTCATTTGGACATCATGGTGCTCTGCAAAATCCAGAGCCTCCTGAATGATGCCTTTATTTGTCCAGTATGTCAACAGATATGTTGCTAATGGAACAGACTCGGCAGTCATCAAATAACTCACAGACAACAGAGGGAAGCAAGATCCATCAACGATGATGGCTCAGTCCATCATCATTTGTGTAACATCTGGATACAAAATTTAAAAACAACAAAAACAAAAAAGAATCAGACACTTATTGACTTGTTGACTTTTATTCGTACTTGTCCCCTGACTGAAATGAGTCCCAGTAAAATACAACAAATTCCGTGTTTGTACAGAACATTCTCTAGTAAATGAGAAACAGGGGTTTCTATCTTGTTGCTATAAATAGTTAAATTGTCCACATCTTTGATTTGTACTGAACAAATGGTAATGTGTTATTTATCAGTCTGTAAGGACTACTTAATGCTGGAAATCAAGTGGAAGGGTAATTTCAAGCATTCCATCTCTGACTGTCATGGAGACTTGGACTTCCTCTGAAGTTTGCAGCAGATAACTAAAAACCTCATCACTGAACTGGTCTATGAGTTGAATGATGGTGTTCATGATGGACTCACACACTCTGCTTAACTCCTCCATGCTGAAAGGAGGGATCTGGTCAGCAAAGTTCCCAACTGCTGTGACAACCGTGCCGTAGATCTCATTGACGTCAGTGAACACTTCATCTAAATAGTCAGACTTGAGCGAATCAACAAACTCCTGAGTTGTCTCAACAAATACCTCCAGAGTGTCACTTATCTCTTCCAGCATTTCGTCAAGACTTTCCAAATTTTTCAAAATGTCCACCACATCATCAAAGATATCTTTAACTTCAGTTTTAACCTCATCTATTATCTGGCTTCCAGTAATTACTTCACCATCGTACTTTGCCACTTCAACATTGCCTATCTTCTCTACAAAATAGTTGCAGTACAATTCCATATTCTCATGAATATTCTGGACAGTTACATCTAGCATATTAGCAGCGATAGTGGTCAGCCTCTTTTGGAGCTCAGGGAGAGTTATCATCTCATCAGACCCGGGCAGTTTAAAGCGGGTCTCTCTCAGGACTTTGATGACAGCATCAAGGAAGGTCTTGACAGCTTTTTGGTACCGTACAATAGTGTTCCTGAAGAAAATTGAAATCTGGCTCATTTGAACATCATAGTTGACAGCAACATTGTAGGCTTCATTGATGGATTCCTTCAGCAACTCCACAGAACTTGTGACATGGTATTTGTCTGCAAACGCTTTAAATGAGGAGATAATGGAGGGAAGTCTTGTCTTGAGCTCAGAAACAATTGCCTTCTGAGCCTCTATGTTATAGATAATCTGCAAGTTGGTCTTGTCTGCATCCTTAGAAGGTCTGACTTGCAAGAGTTCAACATCAGTATCCAGAGTAGTCTACCAAAAAGAAAAAAAGTATAGACATTTTATTTTGGAACGTAATTTTCCATTACATATATATATGTATATATATATATGTATATATGTATATATACATATATATATGTATGTATGTATGTATAGATCAATAAAACTCACAGGAGATCGTCCATAGAATCTTGCACTCATCTGAAATGGGTTAAGCTGAAGGCCAAGAAAACCGGCAGTTGGAGTAGATACTGAGGCACTGATAGCATCTCTGTGTGAAGCGTAGCGAAGGTTAACATCGGTGAAAGTTGGACTTGTAATGTCAACATTCAAGGTGTGGTGGGGGACACTGCAAGAGAAAAACAGACATATATATTTATTTGTGTGTGTGCACGTATGCAACTTTTTTTCTCAACTATTGACTTCATCCAAAAAAATAAATAAAAATAAACAGCAAGAAACAAAAAGATTATTTACCTTTCATCCGCTTGACGCTTTTGCCTAAAACGAGTTAAAACAAGTTTAGTATTTTAAACATTGAGCATCAGTAGCAACAATTTAAAATGCACCAATAAAATGTTACCTCAGAGCTTGAATGATGGCATGGTTAACATCCATGGTGAGATCAGTATGAGCCAGTGCAAGCTTACTAACCATTTTCACAAGGTCATTCTCAAAGTTTGTGGTGGAATGAGCTATTGGAAATGAAAGAACGCGAGAAAGACAGATTTGGACCTTGCCGTTGCTTACAATTTGAAAAGATAATGTTAGACAGTTTTAATCAACTCACCATCCAAGTCATATTGCAGTATCACAATGGGAGAAGTGGCTGAAGACTTAAATTTGATCTTGAAGACAGGAGCATTACCCTCCATTTCAGCTTCCATGTTTGTGATGTACACTGGGCTAACAAATTTAACAACTGAAGAGATCTTCTGCTTAGAAGTGGCCACCTCAGCAACAATCTTCTCCAAGTAAGTTAGATCACCATGATTGCATTGCTGAGCCATATCAATTTCAATATCAGCAGTCAATGAAGAAATTGGTGCAAGGTCAATAGTAGCCTGGATGTTATGCTTTCCTTTGGTTTTAAAATTGAATAAATTTGCATCGTTGTTACATGAATGCCTCATCTCTGCAAATAGACGTCCTTTGGAGGCTTCAGCAGCCATATTGTTGTTCACATCCATTCCAATAACTTTGGTTGTGCCATGGTTAAGCTTGGCATCAGCTGTAACTTTGGAAGTAGAACGGAAGCTGTTTTCACTTAGGTACAAATTAGCTTCATTATCCAGAACTCCTAGAATTAGATAGTTTTCAAAAACTCTGCCATTCATGTTAGACTTAACAGATGACTCCACTGAAACATGTTCATTGTTTACTTCCAGCTTTAGAGTGTGGTTTGCTTCGGCCTTTCCAATGGCGTTTATCTTAGGGATATTGAAATCGCCCTTAATTTGGAAGGAGGTTTGAGCATTGGCTCTGGGCTTGGTGTTTGCAATCAGATTTTGATTTGCTTCCAGGTTGAGTATTGGCAGAGTAATCTTCCCTACTGAAGCTACAGAGACAGCAGTTTCGAAAGTTTCTGTGCTCATACTGATGGTGCTGGCATGTGTGCCTTCAATGTGTTGGTTTTTCAGGGAGATGCTGCTGGCCAACTTAATTCCTTTTTTGGTGGTGAGAATGGTGGTGCCTTCAAGTTTGGCTACCAGATAATCAAACGCAGAGACAGTGTTAGCTCCCAGGCGGATGAAAAGACCATCTTCAGCATACAGGAGAGCATTGGCATTCAGATCAAAGATGGCAGACCTGAAAGACAGGTCTGTGGTCACTCTATCCATAGAGGGAATGTGAATCAGACCCATTATATCAACAAGTGGGGCAGCCTTGCTTTTCTGATAAAGAACCTTGGCATCCACAGAAAGAGTTTGCTCAGTTGTTGTCAAAATGTTCTGAAGTCCAGTCTGCTCATACAAGTTCAAATCACTGAAAGCTGGAGTATGGATGTCAACAAAAGGTATTTCAATCTCAGGAACGCTGAATGGGACTTTCAGGAAAAACAAATCGGCATGACTTTCTGTTTCAAAAAATATTCCAGCTTCATTTCTGTTATTATTGAGAGTGACATTGAAAAACATTTTGTACTCATTGAGACGAGCTAGAAAGAATCTGTTTATCTTTTGTCCATCAGGACCCAAGTTAACCAAGTAATCATTCTGCAGTTCTAGTTTAGCAAACAGGTCTTTGAAAATGTTGATCTTGGCATTTGCCCTGTTTAGGAACTCAAAGACAAATTCAGCAGGACAGATTTTAAAGTTGACTACATTGGAGCTGACTCCACTCTCTGCACCTTGCAGTTCTGTCTCGTGGTTTGCTTTAATTTCAATCTTCATATCATTAATACTGGCAAGTCCAGATGCCACTAGGAGACTGTTCTTGATTACTGGTGCCTCTGCCTTGTTGCTCACATTGAACTTGAAGTAACTGAAAGTGCCTGATTCGGCTGTAATGTGCTGTTTCATCTTTATGTCTGCAAGGTCTGTGTCACCAGATAATATCAGACTGGCAATCTTAGGGGTGACTGATAGCTGCAAACTGCTTACATGGTTCATACCATAACACTTAAGGTTGATATCACTACACTTTCCATTTGCAGAATTGTCAGCTGTCAGTCTGAGAGTGAAGCCATCTTGCTGAGCTATTATCTTTTGGTTTACAGAAACCACGTCTGGGACATCCACAAATGGCATCTGCACTGTATGGGTGTAGGTTGTATCAACAGTGGCAGTCATTCCTCCTTCCACAGCAATAAAGGCTGTATTCATCAAATTGGCAGTGTAATATTCAGTATCAACTTTAACTGTGGTTTTTGCTTGGGCTTGAGCTGATAGACCGTACAGAGTCACGGATGCTTGATGCTCGGCTCCAAGAGCAACATGATCAAACTTTACAGTCTCTGCAAAGACAATGCGTTTCATTTTTGGGACTGCAATACGAGTGCTGGTGTCAAGCTGGTAATTGAGGAATTCAAAATTGGGAGCGGTGCCCTGCGAATTGAAGAATCCAGTGAACAGAGGTGTCATTCTGTTCTGAGTGGCATTCTGAAACTCAGCAGATGTCTTGACAGTATAGATGGGAGTGTGGAGTTTAATCTGACCGTAAAGTTTACCGAAGCATGGAACCATGATCGCCTTTGGAATGACTGGCAGCTTGATTTCAGGAATCTCAAGAGTCTTAACAAGCTCCTCTACAGGTAATTGTGGAATAGTAGGGAATGCAACCTCAGGAAAAGTGAATTCTAGCAAACTGATTTCAGGCAAGCTAGGGAGGAAGTTCAAAGTCAGATCTCCAAAGAAGGCATCTACATCAAATGTTTCAATTTTAAATTTCAAAATTAAATCAATAAGCTCAATGATCTTCTGGTTGATATCTTTAAAGGAAAGTGTGGTTGCTGTTACAGTGTACCTGCCCAGGATGATGAACTCAGGGATGTCAATCTCTGACGGAATTGTCCAACGTTTATACCAATTTAGGCTGACCATCTTGGATGGCACAACAAGATTTGTAAAAGGTACTGTGAAGGATGGAGTGTAGACCGTATTATACCTCAGTTCTTTAAAAAATGTTTCTATAATTTCCCCAATCTCATGAATGATTTTTTCATCAGGCAACACTTTCTCAATTTCCCTAAAAACTACGTTGAAGGTTTCACTTGTTAATGCTACAGGCAACGTGTAAAAGAACTGCACTATTTCCAGCAAATAACTCAGACTTTCTCTGAAGTCAACATGTTCGATTTCCTTTTTTATGTATTCAGCAAACTTCTTAAGGGAATCACAAACAACTTTTTCACAAATATCCTTTGCAAAATGAATCATTTCTGCAACTTTTATTTCTCTCAAATGTTCCACTAAGTCTTGAATTGAAGATAAAACTGTATTGACAAATTGTCGTGCTGCCTCAAGTTTCTGGGGGATTTCAAAAGTCTTGATTATTTCGTTCAGAAAACTTGAGTACTCCTCAATGATTGCGTTGATGTGATTCACCAAGTCATTGTAATTCAGAGACTTCAGTTCTTGCACCAAAGTTTCAATATACACATTTAAATGTTCAATCAAGTCTTTAATTTCATTTGCTTTTAAAATGTCAATAATAATTTGTAAGATTTTCATGGATATGTTGGGAATGTCTGCCTCCTTCACTCTTTGAACCATTCCATTGATGGTTTCCTCCATTTTAAGTTGTTTGATAAGGTCCACAGCTTTTTCTAAAACAACTTGAGCATTTTTGTTAACCTCAAGTTGTACAAGCAATACGTTCAATTTGGCATATACATAATTGATCTTTCCAACAATGTCAAGCTTATCTGTCAACATTACCATGTATTGTGTTGTTCTACGGAAAATTTCTTTTGGCGTGCGAACGACAAATTCTTTTATGAGACTTATGAACAAATCTTGTGAAAAAGAAATGAATTCTTTCATTTCCTTCACAAAGTCTGACACATCAAAACTGTCAATTTTTTCTCTGACGTAAGCTATAATGGTCTGTACTTTCACTTTGGTCTTATACTGGACTTCAATATCATACAGGAATTGAATACTGCTGCCTTTCAGTTTTTCCAGGTCAATCTGCTGGATCATCTCGCCTATATTATCCATCCAATACACAACCACAAGTTTGATGTCATCAATGTCTTTCACTACTTCCTCTATCTCTTGACTGAGGGTTTCATAAAAGGTGCTACTATAAATAACATCACTGATTTTATCAGCTACACTTTGGATGCTAAAATTTATATCATTTAGTACATTCTCAACTGTCATCCTCAGGTCATTCAAAAATAGTTCCACATCTTCAAGTGTAACATTAAAGCTTTGGGTAAAGTCATTGAAAAAATGCTTCAGTTGATTTACCTTGCCCTCCAGATCGATTTCAGCCACTATGTCACTTATTTGCTGAGGAAGAGCTTCAAGTCTAGCCCTCACATCCTCATGGTTGATGATATCTCGCAGAGCTTCTGCCACATACACAACTACTTCCTTGATGCTCTCCAAGAAAAAGGGAAGACTTTCAATCAGAGGGAAGTTAATAATATGACTGTCTGTGCTCTTGTCATACTTGAGGAAGCCAGAGATGGTGAACTCCTGGTTGTCAGGGGAGGCTGTGTTGATGATGTTTGTAAGTATGGAGCCAGACAGCTCAATTCCCATTTTCTCTGCAGTATTGTAAACTTCTATGCCCTGAATCAAAGCATGCTCATTCATTTTAGTTTTAAATTTAAGACCAGTTTTCTGCTCTTGGGGTGACAGAAGAGTATCCATCTTGTAGTCATATGACGTTTCGAGAGAGAAACCATTATCCAGCTGCTGAGTTGTTGATGCTCTGCATTCATGTAAGCTGGCAAAAGCCAAGGGTTGTGCTCTGAGTTGGAGTTTACTATAAAGCTGACCACTGTGTTTTCCATACACCATCACATCTCCATCAGCATTGAAAATGGCATTAAGGTTGAAATCAAAGGGAACAATGCTCCAGCGAATGTTGTGGTCAAAGCGTATTGGCTGTGAGCTGAAGCGGGCATCATTGGTGAACTTGGCAGCAAGACCTACAATTTCAAGTTCAGTATTGTGATTCATGTGAGTGCCAAAGAGTTTTCCGGTGGTGCTGCACTTTGCATTAGCACTCAGATCAGCATAGTTAATCTGGTAGGTGTGCTTGATCTCTTCCTGGTCATATGTGGCCTTCATGTTTCCAGTCAGGTCCATCTTGTAAGGTTCTGCCTGAAATAGAGCTTCACTGTCCAAGCTGATGGCTAGAAATTCCAAGTGGTTGTCAACATTTGCAGAAGCACTGTAGGGTTTTAGGTTGAAGATGATATTGTGAGTGTAGGGTTCATACCCAGTCTCACTAGCTTTAGCCTTTGATTGGAAGTCAAGACTAGACAGAGTCATGGTAAGAGTATTGGCATTATCAACCTTGATATCACTCATTTCAGCTTTGTTTGAAATGGACAAAGTGGCCCTTGTAGCATCAATAACAGCATCAAAGGTGTTTTCCAATAACAGAGAGCCACTGAGAGTGGTTGTTCCATTTGTACTTAGACCATCCCCATTTATTGCCAGGCTGGTCTTGTGCACAGCCTCATTCTCAAGAAGCTTCATGTTGGCGTTGCAGTTTACAGAAAGACCTTTCTTATCAAGAGAGGCAATCAACAAAGAGTAAACACGGTTATCAAAATGATCTCCATTGGTCTCTATTTTGATGATGACTTCACCGGAACCAGCGGAGGCTTCAGCCTGGTTGTGGATCTTCATACCAAGTACAAGAACATTTTCATCACATTTCATTCTCAGCTTGCTGTCCTTGAAGGAAAGTTCAGCACTGTGAGTGTAAACATCTTCAAAGGCCTTGGTGTTGGACACGAATGCGAATTCACCATTGCTAAAGGTTGCTGTGATTGTGTTCTGGGCATCAAGAATTGTGGAGTCAAACTGAACATGAGAATTCATTTTTGCTTCTGACCTAAATGGTACCACGATAAATGACTGCGTTGAAATGGTCTTGCCATAGATTGGTCCAACCTTGACTAATCCCTCAATTGTACTGTCACCAGAAAACTCCTCAGTGTTGATTCCAGCCATACCACTGTGTTCTAGTGATATATTAAGACCAAATGGACTTGTGGCTTTTAGTTTGCTCACTGATTTCAAATTGATTTTGTCAGTGATGACTCCATCTTCTTCAATGCTAATTTTAGCTTCAATAAACTTGTGGGTTAAAGAGCTTGTCAAATGGGCCTTGATGGAATCACTCATGGTCACCATCCCAGAACCTACAACACAAGAGGCAAACATAAAGGAGGACCAAAAACTCCACAGACTGACTAAAACAAAGTATTGACACACATTTTGAGATTTTGGATCATATTCCCATGAGTCTTTGTGAAAAATAACTGAAAAATGTTCTAACATACAAAAAGAAAACATTTTAGCTAAGTTCATAGTTGCAGTATTGATAAACTTTTCAGATAATCTTTATAAAATACCTGCAACTGCTACTGAGAGGATGTCAATTGGGGAATTTCCTTTCAGATCAAACTTTGCTGAATAGCTTGGTGGTTCCTCAACATCTTTTCCAGCATTCAGTGTAGCCTCTATATCATAAAGATTGCTTGTCATCTTTGTTGAAAACTCAGCTTTGCCAAACAGAGGAATAGACAGTGTGCAATTAGTAGGCAAAGCAAGATCTGGGATTGGGATTTCTCTGGAGACAATTTCCAGTCCAAAATGGGGTAAAGACAGGCTTGGAGTGGTCAGAGCTGGTGGAAAGTTAAAGTCTGATGTTGACTTTCCTCCAAAAGGCAGTGGGATTATAACTGTGAAATGTTCATTGTTAAAGTGGTAGACAGCCTTTGCCTTGCTGTTAAAAAAGCAGAATAAAAGTATAAATGATTTTAAATGGAAAAGAACTCCCAATTTAAACATTCACCGTGGAGATGTGCACACTTACGTATTCAGGAAGAGTGTCTCTGGCAGGGAAATCTCTGGTATATCCGGCAGTCTGAAGTTCTGCATGTAAGGGAGCATTTCAGCACCATACTTTTCCATGTAATTGTTCGCAGCCTAAAAAAGCAAAGCAGTCTTTTATCTTTTGCTCAGTTACTTGGGAAAATTTGACTGACTGGAAAAAATACACATACCTCAACAAACTTCTTGAAGATGTGACGGACCTTCATGTCAGTCTGTCCCACTTGCATGTCAAGAATCTCATTGGCATACTTCTCAATAAATTCACCATTTGGCAGGGAGTTTGTCTTGGTGTTCATTTCAGACTTGACCTCAACTTCAATCTTGCTGCCATCTGACAATACAATAAAAACAGTCTGATTTTCTGCTGTCGCAAATCAGCTCCCTTTTTATCCAATCATCTAATCCACAAGGTAAAATCAGTTAAGCTTTTGTTTTCTTTTGGCTGCTCCATTCTACAATGGTTGGATTAAACATTAACATGTAGAATATAGACAATAAAATCTTTTCAAATAAGAAAATCTTCAGTGATTCTTGACTGTACAATAACTGATATGTAATTATAGTTAAGCTCTCGTGCTTCTCCCACCATAATCCAAGGAGGGTGCCTGCCCTGTCAACAGAACTGATCGCCCTGCCTACCAACTGTTGCATTAGCATCAACCTAGCGTTAGTAAGTTTGTGGTTAGTTCTGCCAATTTCTTCCTCATACAAAGCTTCCTCATATTGGCCTAAAATCTGATCTGATTGTTATTTTAGATATTTCAATCCCCAAAAGTACACCACAATTCTAAAAATGATTAGTTTTTCTGTGTTAAGCATGTTACCCAAATTAAAATCTACTCTTTGAAAGGAAAACTAAATGGACAATGACATTACCATATTTTATGTCAATTTTCTGCTCAGAGGTGGTGTCCATTATCTTCATTTTACTTTCAAGTTCCAGTTCTTTTTCTTTTTCACGATTCAGGTAAGCTGTGACAGTGGATTCAGCTTTGATTGAAGGAACCTGAACCTGGAATTGGAACATGCCCTCTTTCATGGCCCTCAGCCTGAAACATGTAACAGTTAGTGAGCAAATTTAGAATAATCACAGTTAATATTAGGAGTGTCTTCATTTAGTTTCTTACTTGGCACGTCCAAGAAGGGAGAGCTCTGGAATGTTCTTGTTTATGAACTCAAGTGTGATAGAGTGAGTTCCTTGGCCTTTGGTGTTTCCATCAACAACACCAAGCCAGAACCCAGCCTCCACATCATAGTCAGGGATCTGGATGTCTGCTGAGATGATATTCTTTCTTCTGTTGTATTTCATGGCTAATCTAGCCTCAGTTGGCTCAGCCCCTGTTATTGATCAAGCAAGCAAATCAAAGTCAGAGAGGTTTAATTGTTATTTCAGCTACATACTAGTAGGGATGGGGCCGATCCGATCCAGTATCGGTATCGGCCTCCGATACCACCATAATTTACGTATCGGATTTTTCCGATCCATCTGCCGATATTTCCAATCCATGATGCATGTTGGCTTCAAACTACGGAATGGATTTCCTGAACGGCAGCGTCTCATGAACCCAGAGTAATAAGAGCCGCCTCACATTCAGGAAATCCAGTTCATAGTTTGCAGCCAGCTACAACGTAAGGGCTGAGTTAGCAGCACTGTGGCTAACAGCTAACAAACTTCATCGAAACATGTCCACTGTGTGGAAGTATTTTACACTAAACACCACAAAATAAGACAGCAAGGTGAAATGTCTGCAGAGCCATAGCGCCACATTAAACCGCGGTAAAGTTAGTTTTGCGTTGGACATTTGAGCTCCGTGGCTTCAGCGGGGCGCTGCTCTTTGCTCAACCGGAAAGAGGCGACTCGACCTCGGCCAGCCGCGTCCAATCTGCCCCGCTCAATCTGCCCGTCTCTGAGGAGGGACAGACTGAGCGCGGCTGCCCCAAATCAGGCTGCCTGCTTCGGACTGAACAAGAAGAAGACGTCGCTGAAACCACGGAGCTCAAATGTTTACAGAGAAGTTGCTAAACTTCATTATAATTCATGACCAACCACTATCAGTTGTAGAAAATGAAGGATTTCACAGCTTGATACTTGCAGTCAAGATATAGTTTACACTCCAGGAGATATTTATCAATACAACAGTAGACAATCATAAAAAACATGATTTGAAAATTATATTAAAAACAAAAACAGCTACATTATAAAGTGATGTAAAATACTAAAAACAGGAACATGCCTGTTGGTTTATGCCATGAACTTAGCATGTGTTTGAAGACATTTAACATTTAATTTAATTTAATTCATTCATTTAAAAGAAACAAAATTTAAAAAAATCATGAAAAAGAAAACATTGAAAGAAAAGAGTGCAGAACAAAGAAAAAAATTCTTATATCTGCCCCTTATTTAAAAAAATATAAAATAACTTTAAACAATCACTTAAAATTAATCACTTTAATATCCACTTTAAAGCTAGGAATTAAAAGAAACATGTTTTGTGCTAGCAAAATTTAATTCTAACTTTAAAACTTATCCAAAATTAATAAAACTTACCTCAAGTTACCTTTTTGGACATGCATGCATATATTTGTACAAATTGTACTTAAGAGGAGATTATTACAGCCTCATATAAAATCAATGATGATCATGATATCGGAACTGGATCGGTATCGGCCGATATTCAGGCTTGGGTATACCGGATCGGATCGGAAGTAAAAAAAAAGTGGATCGGTGCATCCCTACATACTAGTATATATTATAATGATACAACGTTCCCCAGGATCACTATGCAACATACAGCATAATGTGCAAAACAAAACAATGCACAATGCAGATATGCAACAGAACAATAAATACAAACAGACCTATAGTAAATGCAAAAAAGACATCTAACCTAATCTAAAGATTCTAATCTAAACATGTAATTAAGAGACAGGGCTAGAGACACATGTTAATACATGTGTAGGTGGCACTGTACATGGGGTAGAAACATTTTCTGATTTGTGGTTAGCAGCACATCACTTTAAGCTTCTCCAAATTCATCCAGTTAAAAAATGGTAGGAAAAAAACCCTGTCAGCGCTGATCATTACCTTCAGCTCGCAGGATAAACTTCAGAGAGTCGACCTTCTGCTGGCCTTCTTCTCCCTCGTTCAGGAGCTCATAGGCAGCAGTGACTGTGTACTCTGTGACTTCTCCAGTTGGGTGGAGCTCCACAGCAAATCTATGTTGTTAATTTGAGGGTATTTCTTAGGTAAATCATTTTCATTATAATTTGCTTATGTTTTTTTATATTTGAGGTCTTACTTGCTGTCACCGGTGAAGGGGAAATAAGGGGCTGTTTCATGAGAGAAAGCGTCGACGTACTGCAGAGCTGTGCAAAAGTTCATTCCAGCAAAGGCAGAAGTGCACTTGCTAACATCAACTTTATCCATCACCAGTGGAGGAATAGTCTTAACTTCTGACCCAGTTACAGCCACCAAGGTGTTTCTAGATAAAAAAAATAAGAAGACAGTTTTATTTTCTATTACAATGCCTGAAATTTGTGATGAAAGCTTTTACAAAATATTAATGACTTACGTCATTTTAATGAGCTTTGTAGGTTGGGTTGGTGCAGGGATTGTTAGCTTAACTTGATTACTTTCCATGGAGATCTTGGCTTTGATTCCACCCTCATGGAAAATATTGGTGTGCATCTCCAATCCAGAATTAACATATTCAGGAATGTGGGAACCAATCTGAGTGATGAACTCAATGCCACCAGATGGCATGAAGCTGAAGGTCTATGAGGAAACCCAGGAGAATTGTTGATGGAACACTTATACAGAAAAAACAAAATAAAATACACGTAGCATTTCATTGTAGGATAATCACCATGCCACGATCAATCTGAAGTCCACCTTTAAAACCAGGTGTGAAAGTACCAGACAGCGCAATCCTCAGAGGCACACCAGTGACAGTTGGCAGGAAGAATTCATTGTCCATGAAGATGTAGTGGGCAAATATTGTGGTGTCAGGGTTAGTCAGCAGTGACTTTATTATCTGTATAACAAATAAAAAACACATTTACAGTAGTACAAGTTTAGTCTATGTCATGAATTTGTAAAACAATAACATTTTAATTGTTGTAATTATAGCTAATTTATTATTTTGAACTTACATTTCCTGGGAACATCATGTACATGTTTCCAAGCCTCATGCTAAGCCAGTAGATAATCTCCTCAATATCCTGACTCCCCAGATATCCCAGCTCATTCCCCAAGAGCCTGAGATAAACCATTGCTTCTGGAAAGTTTTGACCCTGAAGTTGTTTTACCAGTTTGTCAAAGTTCTGTCCAATTTCTTTCAGTAGGTGCTGGGAAGTCTAAACACAAATGTGCACAATCTCTAATTATGCATCTCATATTAAATGCATAAACTGTATAAACAACATGAACAAACAATTTTTTTTAGTTTAATTAATGTGTGTTATCCAGGTTGTTATGGATACCTGTCTCTTCATCCTGTTCTTCTTCAGTGCAGGCACAATGTTCTCTAGTATGTCATTGACTACACATGGCATTTTGTCTGAGACAAAGCACATAGTCTTCATGGCAGTGTCAGGGAAGAATCCCTTCTCTCCAAACAAGGCTTCAACCACTGGTTCAAATCCTTTGCCATCCATACCAATCTGTAAAGATAACATTTTTCTTTCCATTAAAGAGGGTTTTATATTTGTACTTGGCGACAAAAATCTTTAAGGTCCAATTTAGGTCAAAAGTCTTAAAATGCTTACCTCCATCATGTCAATCTCAAAGCCGAATGCCTTCAAAGTCATTTCAAGCATAACCTCTTTGGGTAGGTATCCAACTTCCTCAAAGATCATGTTTCCCTCCAGAGATCCAATCTTGTAGTGACGAGAAAAGTTAATGGGGTCCATGGTGGGGTCAATTTCATTGCCTTGCAGGGCATCCTGAATCTTCTGTCTCAATCTGAAAAGGTAAAAAAATAGTCAACCAAGCAAGAATCAGAGCGCCCTTTTTTTTTTTTTTAGCAACATTGCTTTTCCTTACTCTTGGGTCTCAGTCTCGGTTGAGGACAGAATGTTGGTTATGTGGGATATTACAAAGCTCTTGACTTGGTGGTCCTCCTCACGGGACAAAACTTTACTCAGTTGGGTGAGCTCACTTGGCTGTGGATCCTTCATTAGTATCAGGTATGCAGCGATTCGCTCTTGCACAGATTTGCTACTGTCCAAAAGCACCTGCATGAACACCTCTCTTACCTGCAGCCAACAGAAATTAATAAAATGAGCATTTGTCTGTGTTTATTCTTGATATTATGAGAAATTTAAGAGATTGCTTTTTTTGAATTTTTGATTATTATTATTATTTAATACTGGGCCCAAGTTGCGTTAGTTCTCTTTCCTCTAACGTCACGTGCACCATAGAATGGTAGCACTGATGGGAGCTCTGCATCAACTTGCTTGTTTTTTGTTCCTGTTGCTTTTGTTTCAACTTATTTTGTGCCTACACTGCACACCCATGCTACAGGTATGACCGCGACACACTGTTGGAGTTTTGTGTGTTGCTGCCTTGCAATCGTGCCATCGTGCCATCATGCCATCATGCCATCATGCCATCATGCCATCATGCCATTGTGGTTCAGTTCCTGGCCCCATTCCAGCCTCAGGCTCAGGCTCAGGCTCAGGCTCAGGCTCAGGCTCAGGCTTAGGCTTAGGCTCAGGCTCCAGTCTGTCATGGTGGCCTTCTCCATGGTTCTCCATTTGCCTGGACAGACTGAACTCTACAAACCCGTTCAGTTCCGCAGGGAAACTTTGGATGTTCTTTATCTGCCAGACCTGGTTCTGAAGGGCAGTCTGGGAGGGCAGTTGCTGTGGTCATTATTATCATCATGCTGCTAACAGGACCTGCTAGCAAGATCTTCTAACAAGACCACACTGCCGACAGAACCACACTGCTAACAATACCATGCTGCTAACAAGACCATGCTGTTAACAGGACCATGCTGCTAAAAGAACCTCACTGCTAACCAAATCACACTGCTAACAGTACCATGCTGCTAACAGGACTATGCTGCTAACAGTACCATGCTGCTAACAGTACCATGTTGTTAACAGGACCATGCTGCTAAAAGAACCTCACTGCTAACCAAACCACACTGCTAATAGTACCATGCTGCTAGCAGGACCATGCTGCTAACAGTACCATGCTGCTAAAAGAACCTCAATGCTAACCAAACCACACTGCTAACAGTACCATGCTGCTTATGGGACCATAATGATAAAAGAACCTCACTGCCAACTGAAACACTCTGCTAATAGGACCATGCTGCTGTAGATGCATTGCTTTTTCACTTTTGGCTCCTTGTTTTTATATTTTTGTTGCATGCTTTGGTATTTCTTGTTGTTGTTTTTTTTTTGTGTGTGGGTGTGTTTTTTGTCAAGTCAAGATGGTTCTTATCGTCCTGAGCATTTCAATGCACTGTTGACCTTGTGTTGGCTTACGTATGACAATTAAACCAAAATTAAGTTGCTGTGAGTCAAATGGTTAAAGTTCATATTTTATCCTCTCCTATATACTCAGGTCTCTCTTGTAAATGAGTCCTCGAGGCTCAATGGGATTTACCTGTATGTATAAAGGTTGATTGATTCACCTGTATCCCACTTGCCTGCATTTGGATACTTCTAGACTACAATTTGTCACACACTTAGTAACAATAATCAACAGAAAAATTAGTAATAAAACTACTCTGACAGACTCATTGGGGCAGAGATGATATAGGGCAGTCGTCTTGGGACCCGAAGGTCCTAGGTTCGATCCCCGGTCAATGCACATCTCGTGGTGTCTCTGAACAGGACACCTTATCCCGAATTGCTCCCTGGGCAGCTTACATAGCTGCCCACTGCTCCACCTGGGTGCAACCCAGGTGTGATGGGTTAAATGCAGAGAGACAATTTTGTCTTTGTATGGGAACATACAATGACAACTCATAGCACTTTATTATCATTGTTTGACCTATACCTCGTTAGGGACTGGAATCAGCCTGTACACTTGAATAGCAGCTTGTTGCACTTCTTGGGAGGCTGCTGGTTGCTTCACACAATTTATCACAGCAGCACGGAGAGCAGGACTGGCAGGAACCACAGCTGGAGCCATGTTTCCAACCACCTTTGAATATAATGTAATAATATTTGTTACTGAACAAAAATTCTGTACTTTCATTTCCATTTTGAGCATTCAGGTAAAATGCTTACTCTGAGTGTCATAAAAGTCTGGTCCTGTTGGCCAGTGCAATCTCCCAACTGAAAAGTCATGAACTCCGCAACAGAGAGGATCTCAGGAATCACTTTTTCCTCAGCTTTGTAAAACCTATTTTAAAAACACAATAGTTTTATGTGGAACAGGGTAGAGCCTACTTTGTACACAGCAAAAATGGGTTATTAAAAATAAAAAGTAAAGTGAATAAAGACTGAAAACCTTACTGTTTGACAACGTTGCTAAGAGCATACATGATGGGCTTGCTGGGCTTATATTTGGCCATCTCGAGCATGTCATGGATTAGGAGGGCAGAGGGGTTGGACAAGAATCCCAGAGCAAACACAGCAGCATCAACTTCAGGTGAATGTTTGTTAATGGTTCTGAGGATATGCATGATAGCGCTGCTGCATTCTGGGGTTCCACACTGAGTCAGAACCTGGTAGGTCAGAACGTGAGACACGCTAGCAGCCTCCGGAATGGCAGCGTGCAGGGTTTCAGTCCTCATACCACGAACTGTGGAGACAAGTGTGTGGAATAGGTGTGGTCTCCTCTCGCCTTCGGTCTCAGGCAAGTCAACTAGTTCTCGCACGAGATTCAGAAATGTGTCTTTATCCTGGACGGCACTCTTGTCCTCAACAGCTTCCATGTGAAGATCTTTGACAACGCCACCTTGACAGGCCAGCAGAGAGATTTTGATTAGTTTTTATTAAAAAGACGTCCAAGTTGTTTTTGATACAATGTTATGTCAAATAATCAAATAGTTAGCACCTTAGCTGTTATGGAGAAAGAGGCAAAAATCAGTCTGGAATGAGCTATTGGCTAGCCAAATGGAGGCCTTTTTCAAGTTTATAAACCAACTTTCTTAAAAACAACATATTGGTGTGAAAGAACAGTTTTCCCAAGCCAACAGTGTTTATTTGCATACACCAAACTTTTACAGAACTCTCTGTGGACTGGTGCATTCGAAGCCTTGGCACCATCAACATACCATCTATGCTTAGCACACATATGTTCACACAGTAAAACAGATGTTTGGTTTACAAAAAAGCAACAAACTCAACAAACAGTGTCATGCACAAGTGAAGAGATTAAGTATTAGCTAATGTTACATTTTTTCACACTGTTTTTTGAGATATGATTGTTTCACAAGTCAGTCGGGAAAGGGTGGATTGCTCTCTTCAGGTCAAGGGTGAGGTTTTGCCTCAAGTGGAGGAGTTCAAGTATCTCGAGGTTTTGTTCACAAGGGAGGGAAGAATGGAGCGTGAGATTGACAGATGGATTGGTGCAGCATCTGCAGTATTGCAAACTCTGTGCCAGTCTGTTGTAGTGAAGCTGAGCTGTAAGGCAAAATTCTCTGTTTACTGGTTGGTCTACGTTCCTACCCTCACCTATGGTCACAAGCTCTGGGTAGTGACCGAAAGAATGAGATCGCGGATACAGGCAGTTGGAATTATTTTCCTTTGCATGGTAGCTGGACTCTCCCTTAGAGATAGGATGAGAAGTTCAGTCATCTGGGAGAGACGGGGAGTAGAACTGCTGCTCCTCTACATTGAAAGGAGCCAGTTGATGTGGTTTGGGTATCTGGTAAAGATGCTTCCTGGGCATTTTCTTAGTGAGGTACTTCGGGCATGTCTTACTGGGAGGAGACTCCGGGGAAGATCCAGAACACGTTGGAGACACTATGTCCCTTGGTTCATTTGGGAACATCTTGGAGTCCTCCCAGAAGAGCTGGAAGAGGTAGTTATGGAAAGAGAAGTCTGGGCCTCTCTGTTCAAGATGCTGCTCCGCAACCCGACTTGGGAACAAACAGAAGATAATGGATGGATGGATGGCATTGTTTTCTAAGCCTGAAAGACAGGTGCTCGTTTGGCCAAACATTAGCCTAGACAAAGACTTTTACCTTTTTCTCTATACTCTGTGCTCTTGTTCCACATTTGTGTTTTGGGAGATCTAGTCACCCTAACTCTATATCGATGCCATGGCTAATAACGTAAGAACTACTGATAATTATCTAATGTAACATCACTTAAAAAATTACCTCTATCCTTTAAATACTGGCAAAATAAGAAGATGACAACTGAAAAACAAACCTATTTTTATTTAAACATTTCAAAAACAAATACCACAATTCTAATAAAATCTAAGTCACATATTTTGCTAATTCCATGACTTTTGGGGAAGGTTTTGCTTATGTAAGAGGCTAAAATGCAAAAACATGCCATGCTCTCATAAAACTTAGAATGAGCTATTACACAAACAAACCAAGACAGTTTTCAGTTTTCTTCTAATTAAATATTTTGTTCAAATGTTTTGTCGGCAGCTTCCATCTGCAGAGGTCATCACAGCAAGCAAAAGGAAAGATTTTTGTCAAATGTTTTATGCGAGATGCCCTTCCTGAACCTGGACTCAAATCTGCAACCTCACAATTGAAACAAAACATAAATGCATTGTTCAAATACCTTCTTTAAATGTTTTACAAATTAATTATTTGGTTTTATTAGTTTGAAACGTTTCTGGAAATCCTATTTTACAAATCCAAACAGTAAAGCTGTAACAAAGGGCTTACCGTGGTCAAACACTCTGTCGTTGTGCGTAGAAACCTCAACCAGAGTCAACTCCTGCTTTCCAACATTTGTTACGCCATATTTTCCTCTGTGGACAAATGTAATAAAAACAATGCTCGTACAATATTCTTCAGTTAACGTATGCAAAAAGAGGCTATCAGAAGGTTGGATTTACTTGTGCGAGAAGGGAACGAGGATGTGGTTCTCAGTGCAGGACCCAGAGGTCATGTGTTTTTTCTCATTGTCAAACTTGTAGTTGCAGGTTTGGGAGCTTCTGACCATCTGAGCCAGAGAGTAGTGCTGCAAACACAAAGAGCATGATGTTGGGATCAGAGATTACCCTTCATGGGAAAAATGTGTGCATGTGTTTGCACATTACTGTTTTTTATATGCCATGTTACACCTCACATTTAATACTGACAGTTTTTTTTTCCCCTGTAAAATATTTATTGGGGCAGCACGGTGGGGCAGTTGGTAGAGCTGTCGCCTCTCAGCGAGAAGGTTGCTGGATAGAATCCCGGCCGAGGGGCCTTTCTGGGTGGAGTTTGCATGTTCTCTCTGTGCATGCGTGGGTTTTCTCCGGGTACTCCGGTTTCCTCCCACAGACCAAAAACATGCATGTTAGTTTGATAGATAACTCTAAATTATCCCTAGATGTGAGTGAGAGTGAATGGTTGTTTGTCTCTATGTGTCCCTGTGATTGACTGGAGACCTGTACCCCGCCTCTCTCACAGTGACTGCTGGATATGGGCACCAGTGACCGAAAAAGGAAGAAGCGGGAAAAAGATAATGGATGGATGGATGTTATTTATCTTAAAGTTCAATGTAGCCATGTGATTTTTAAGCACCTTACCATGCCAGTGATGAGTGCCAGAGGGCTGCTGTGATCTCTTATTGGTTCAAAATGATCACACCTGGACAGATCTCTGTTCAGGCTGATGTCAGTGGCGATGTCCTCTCTGGCATTAATGGTGTAGTAGGTCCTGCACTTGCCATGGATAGTGGGCTAATAGAAAGATGGTGAATATATAAAGAAGACATGTCAGATGTGTATTTGCGAATACAATATGGTTTACCTTATTTTCTCAATCTCAATACCATGTTCTTGTTCTTGTCTTCCTCTAGTAGAGGCACAGCCAGGGCGGAGATGATCCCCCTCTTAAAGTTCAGGATAGTTGTCGTCTCGCCATCCTCAGGGTACAGTTTCACGTCGTACTCACCCTCAACTACAATCTTCAGAGGATGTCTAAAAGAAAACAAACCACTTTTTTTTTTAGATTCAACTCTAGCAAGAAGTATTCGTTTTTTTGTAAACAGAAGAGAACTCTTCGCACTTTTCCATTTCAGCAGCAAAGGCATCGGAGTTAGAAGCAGGAGCGAACACAGGGTTGCCCTCTGCGTTCGTGTCCACCACCTCACTCAGCTTGCAGCCGGTGGTGCGAACGATGAAACTGCATGTCTGAGGCACTTCAACTTCAACCTAGAAGATAATATATTTTAACCCACCCTGCTCTAAGTGACACATGAGTCAAGAAAAAAAAAGTCCAATGATTCTGAGTCGCTCTCAAATTCATTTGTTGTATGTACCTTGCAAGAGGCCCTTGGTCCATTCTTCAACTGTGAGGCTCCATTGATGGCGTTCAGTGACTCAGCTTCATATTGGTATTTGTACTTGTGCAGGGTCTTGTATCTTTGGGCCACTAGAACATATTATTCCTATATTATATATTACTTATATATATACAGTGGGAGAAAAAATGTAATTGATCCACTGCCGATTTTGCAAATTTTTCGACCTACGAAGAATGGAGAGGTCTGTGCTTTTTAACCTCACATTCTGTCGATTCTGTCGCTCAATTGTGAGCGACAGAATCTAAGAAATAAAATCCAGAAAATCACATTGTATGATTTTTAAATAATTAATTTGCATTTTATTGTGTGAAATTATATATTAAAGAAATATTCAAGGTGACTGTCAGTTTTCCTCGGTCTGGGGCGCCATGCAAGATCTCACCTCGTGGGGTAATGATGATTCTGAGAAAGTTCAAGAATCAGACCAGAACTACACAAGAAGAGTCAGAGTCAGAGTTTCTTTATTGTCATTCGCACCTCATGTGGTACATGTGGTGGAGCGAAATTATGTACACAGGGTCCCAGTTACATTTAACAATAAAATGTAAAAGAAAAATAGTAATAACATCTAAGATATGAACTAAGAAAAACATCAACTAAATATACACTGAGCACTCATAACAAAAACATTAAGTCGAACATCAACACAAACATGAACATGAAGAAGAGATCTGGGACCACAGTCTCAAAGAAGACTATTAGTAACACACTACACAATAATAGTTTAAGACCCTACAGGACATGCAAGTTCCCCCTACTCATGCCAGCACATGTTCAGGCCCATGTGAAGTTCCCTAGTGACCATCTGGATGATCCAGAGGAGGTGTGGGAGAAGGTCATTTGGTCAGATGAGACCAAAGTAGAGCTTTTTGGTATCAACTCCACTCATCGTGTTTGGAGGAAGAAGAAGGATGAGTACAACCCCAAGAACACCATCCCAACCATGAAGCATGGGGGTGACATCATTATTTGGGGATGCTTTTCTGCAAAGGGGACAGGACGACTTCACCGTACTGAAGAGAGGATAGATGAGGTCATGTATCATGAGATTTTAGCCAACAACCTCCTTCCATAAGAGCATTGAAGATGTGTCATTGCTGGGTCTTCCAGCATGGCAACAACCCGAAACACAGCCAGGGCAACTAAGGAGTATTCCAAGGTCCTGGAGTGGCCTAACTGGTCTCCAAACCTGACCCCAATAGAAAATCTTTGGAGGGAGCTGAAACAATGTTGCCCAACAACAGGCCCGAAACGATCTGGAGAAGATCTGTATGGAGGAGTGGGCCAAAATCCTTGCTGCAGTGTCCAAACCTGGTCAAGAACTAAAGGAAACGTCTGACCTCTGTAATTGCAAAGTTTTCTGTTACAAATATTAAGTTTTGTTTTTCTTTTGTATCAACTACAAAAAAAAAAAAAAAAATTATTTAAAAATCATACAATGGGATTTTCTGGATATTTTTGTTAGATTCTGTCTCTCACAGTATTGTACTTACAATAAATATTACAGATCTCTCCATTCTTTGTAGGTGGAAAACGTGCAAAATCAGCCATGTATCAAATACTTACATTTCCCACTGTATGTATATATATGTATATACGTATATATGTATATACATATATATATATATATATATATATATATATAAATCACATTCCTAGTTAATGTAGACAAACAAAATTAAATTAAACTTAAAATTGAACTTACACAGACAGTTTGGATGATCTTCATCTTGAGCAACTGTAAAAATAAAAGAAGGCAAAAAAAAAAAACTTTTAGTGTTTTTCTTAAAAATATTGCAACTAAATGTGTAGCTATTAAAATAAAATGTACCAAAATACACTTGAATAAAATTAATTTGCAATTAATATTTAAATTATTCTGTGTCATTGTATTTTACGAGCTTATTTTACCAGAGGAGTAACTTCAACAACAAACAATACTGTTGGGATTTTTTTAATCAAAACGTATGTGTAACAGGACAAATTAAAATACACCACAGAAATCGTATTAAACAGAAACATTTTTGATAATTTCAGTGGGGTTAGGGGCTACTCACAAGCCAAGGCCAATGTACTGAGGAGCAGCAAAAGGCAGAGCTTTGAGTCCCCCATGATGGGCTCGTTGAAGCTCTCTCCTCCGGGTTTGGTGAGCACTCAGACGAGACTGATGCCTCGGCCTCAGCTGGAGGGTTTTATACTGTCAGCTGAACCCTGTCAGAGGACAAGGAGGCACAGACGGCGCTTTGAATGCTCAAAGTCCACTGCACCCTCCTGGGTGGAGGGACAAAGGCAAAAGGTTTAAGAAGATACTTATAGATCTAAGCTTATGTGCACAAACCTGCTAGATAATGCTGAATGCATTCATTCCTTTTAACATCACTTTAGGAGTATTTTCATTTGCTTTTAGTTGTGCATAATTTTGGATGAGATCTTTATTTACAGTAAAGATTATCATAGATTACTTTGGTCAGATTATCATCTTTTACTTGTATCATTACTTCGAGAGGCTACCATATCACTGCATAGTTTAATTTAAGCTACCTTTAGCTTTTAATAAGCCATTTATCTGTAAAATGATGCAAAAACGTATCATTTCCAGGTGTTATTTTTGACTATACATGTGACTAATGATTAGAATAAATGCTGTTTTGGTTGTTGTGTACAAAAAATATTCCACAGATTGAGCTATTTGAAAATTGCAAATATTAGATTAGGCTTGCAAAGGGGAAAAAAGAGATAGTTTGACATTCTTGTTGCAGAAATATACATTCAGTCGATGAATCCAGCTGCTGCAGTTTTAACTGGGTCACTGATATCAGTGAACACTGAGTGATCAAAGCATGCTCTCAACACAAAGTCCCTCTACTGTAAAAGATAAACTTATCAACTCTTTCTGTATTAATTCTAACCTACAGACAAACCCTCAGTCTGGAGCTGCATTTCTTAAATTATGTACTGTTAAACTCATCTTTTGGTGTCTTTTTTATCAGTTTTACTTGTTGGTTTATTTAATAGAGAACATAAATATTCATTAATGTTGCTGTAAGTACACTAGATTAAAATCAAAGCTCTTTTTCTGTCTGTCTGTAATCAATTTAAACACTTTTGTGCAGTTTATAAGTCTATTCATTTACGAATGCTGCTCAACACATTTTTATGAGAATGTTACTGAATGATGCAACAGAATTAAAGATAATACTTACAGTTTTGTACCTGGTTTTAAAGCTGGATGCTTGTTGTTCAGCCTCTGCAGCCCAAAGTGAACTCAGGGAAAATATTTGCCAAACTTTTTTGGGGGGTTTAGAAGACGAACTTTGATCAACAGAGTCAAAGGTTCGTGCAGAGCTTTGATTTGCTGTTTGATGTCGGACAAATTTTTAACACAGCTGAAGACTATCACAGTTCATAATAAACATATTTTCATAGCTACACTACTTTTTTGTCTTTTAGATGTGTTATTTTATACTATCTTGTTTTTTAGTATTTGTTTAGCTTAAATATTACTCTAAATCTAAGTGTTGTGTAATGCTCTGCTGCAATATATTGCCATCCAAATGTCTGAAATCAAACTGTTTGCGCTGACAGGACTGTACACAGAGTCTTTAGCTGACATTGACAAAATTTTGTGTACAGTACTGACAAAAAAGTTGGTTTGTTCCAGCTAATGGAAGATATTTTATAAATATATATATTATTTTATGATGATCAAAGTTCTCTTTATAGACATTTTAACTGAGAGATTAGTGTTTTTGTTGATTGGAACTGAACAGGGAATGCAAGTAAATCTTAAGATTTTTGGTGCAAGATATTCAAGTGGGTAGGAGTTACTCTGCATAGAAAAACAGAGGTACCTGTAGTTCTATTTTTTTGTCAGTATAGTTTAACTGTTAAATAACCAGAGTAAGCAAACTGATGGAGAGGAGTCAACACGCAGGTTAAAAAAAAAACAACTGTATTTTTTGGCCTATACGTTGCAGTTTTTTTGCATAATTTACATACCCTGTGACTTATACACTGAAGCAACTTATTTATGTTTTTTTCCCATAGTTAAAAAACAACTTTTGGCTGAGATATGACCGTTTTCATTCATTCTGATATTGAAAATATTGAACACTACTATTTTTAGCCACTAGATGGCAATTTAAAAGTATGGCATGCCATTGTGTCATGTAATATGTAAAAGTGGCTATTAATGACACAATCGGCTCGCCACAGTCTGCCACCTTTGTCCAGCTCACCTGGAGCACTCGTCAAATCAGCTTCATTTCACTGCGCCACCTTGGCGAAATGCAGCTAATTTGACCATTGAAGTGAGTTTATTAAGTAAAAGTTCAACTGAAACACACTTGATTATAAAGTCGAGCAAACAAATAATGGTTTTAGGTGCTTATCTTGTTAAATTTCGATGAAATGCACAGCGAGTCATCCTTCTGCGTGCTCCTACTTCCGTGCATCGGCTTTTGGAACACATCTGATTTGACCGTCAAAGTGCATTTATTAAGGAAAAGTTAGACTGAGACACACCTTTGCTATAATTTGAGAAAACAAATTATTGCTAAAGTCCTCCTGTGCACGCTCACACAGCCACCATTTGGCAGCCAATCGATTTTTGGCACAACACCGACCCACATTTCCAGGTTGTCAACGGTGACGCATAATAGATGCAACGTATACAATGAAGCGACTACTTTATGGATTTTTCCACTTTATTAGACATATTTGGACTGATGCGACTTATAAGGTGCGCAACGTGTACAGTGGAAAATACTGTAATTTTATTGTGTAGTAAAAATGGGCTTGCAATGAATCTGCAGTGAGATGAGCACAGGAGGCAAGCATCTTGTAACAGAGTGTAAGATGTTAGTGCAGGGCTGTTCAGCTGAGTTCATCCGGGGGCAAAATCAGGTCCCCAGATGAGCTCAGTTCGGCCCACCAATGGGTTCATTTTTAAATAAACGTAGATTTTAAACCATCAAACAAACTTAATGACAATAGCTGCTGGATGTCCATCCCCTGAACTCTTGGCTTTCAGTAACTGTGGCCCCCTGAGCAGTTTAGTTGAAGAGCCCTGTGTTAGTTTAGGAGTAGATGTGCTCTTCATACAGATTGTGAAGCGGTGACCAGCTTTGAGAGGAGGGCGGAGATTTCCAGGAGTGAACAAACGAAGGTGAGTAGGTCTTAGTTGGAGTGTGGCAGGATGGAAGCTATAGGAAGATTGACCCAGTGCTGTTTGGTGTAAAACATGCAGATGCAAGAATCCAGGTACGCTGAGGCAGATGGTTCCAGGCGATGAGCTCACAGGGGGAACTCACAAAGGAACTTGGGGGACTATGAGGATCCGCTGGAGGACAACAAGAAGCCAGGGCTCAAAAAACACGAAGGATCAAAAGCTTAGAGAACCACTCGATAGGAATAATCTGTCAGCAGGGGCTGTCACATTCTAAAGGCTTCAATGTTCCTGCATGGAATTTTACTGATTCAGCTCATTAATGATGCAGATCAATTGCGCCAAATCACAACAAAGTTGTCTTAGGGCACTTTACAGGAACATACATAGAAAAGCCAATTAGTAAAGTTCTCTATCTAAGGAAGCCAGCAAACTCATTGAATCTTCGTCGCAGTCTCCCATTCTAAGCAAGCACAATGGTAACAGTGGAAAGGAAAAACTCCCTTTTAAAAGGAAGAAACCTTTAGCAGAACCAGACTCAGGACAAGCAGTCATCTGTTTTGACCTGCTGGGTTTGAGAGGACAGAAAGAAAAGAACACAGAATGGCAGGTCCAGATGTAGGTGGAGGTGAATCTGAAAGACAAAAAACACGTTAGGATAGAAAAAAATAATTACAAATACAAAACAGCTTGAGCAGAGCAAGTAAAGACAGTAGCAGAGTGAAGAAATGTGATCTGTTTGTCCCCCAGTAGTCTAAGCCTATAGCAGCATAACTAAGGGACAGCTCAGGAAACCCAAACCAACCCCAACTATAGGATTTATCAAAAAGGAAAGTCTTTAGCCCAGTCTTAAAACTTGACAATGTGTCAGCCTCACACACAGAAACTGGAAGTTGGTTCCACAAGAGAGGAGCCTGATAACTGAAAGCTCTGCCTCCCATTCTGCTTTTAGAAACTCTAGGGACCACAAGGAAACGGTGGGAAGGGTTGGCTCCATCCTGCCACTCAGGAACTGCAAAATCAAAAGCCTTCTCTGTCAGACATTATATGCACGTCTTTTTCTCCAAGTTTTAAATAGAATCGTTTGAATTTGGCTCAGACTTTTGTCAAAATGTGCATATTTGATTATTTTTAAGGCAAACGATGCATAATGCATTGCGAATTTGAATGTTTAGTTTTTAAACTTTGGCCTTTCTGCAGAGAAAGTTTTTATCAGCGCAGTCAAGTTGGGTCTAAAGTGTTATCTGCCTGTTCCTGATAAGGCTGCAGGACAATATGGTGATCAAGTTCATTACAGCGCTGCCTGGACTTCATTGTGTCTGGACCAGTGTTTGCACAACCTGATACTGTAGGACCATAAACTGCAGGAGAATCCTCCAGGCTGTGAAATGACTGCACATTTCTATTTGTTTCTATGTTTTCTTTTTGTTTATTCATTCAAACATATGATTTTTCATTCATAGTACAATGTGCACATACAGTATAATACACTGTGGTTGAATATAGTGTGATCTGCATACCATTGCCTTGCACAAAAAGTAATACTCAAGATTTTAATTTTGGCTCAACTTTTCTCTTACCTCAACCAAAACGTCTGACCCGCTCAAGATTGTTTAATGAAACTTCATACACATATGCATCATCACTAGACAAAGAGTTATATACATAACCCCAATTCCAAGTTTAAGGTCACTTATCAAAGTCCAAGGGTGTACAAGGTTGTTGCTTCTGTAGACTATTTCTATAGATTACTGTATAATAATTTGTAGATGGGTGTATAATGTGTCGTATGTGGTTCTCTTGTTGTACAAAGAAAGCTGTAACTTCTAACGGTTGTCATCAAAATGACAAAACTGCACACAATCAGGCTCACAGAAACAAACTACATACTGGCCTTTCACATGAATTGCTTTGCTTGCGTCCAAAATTACCCCACCTACAGTGACTGGAGGGGAAGGGTCATTGTTCTGTTTGCCTGGAACTACATTTACTTTAATGTTCTTTTATAATTGTAGAAAACCTACAAAATTTATATAGTATTTGTTCAATTGCAAGGCAAAGAAAAAACATTCTGCTAGTTGAAAGGCACATGAACCTGACATTGTTGCAAACTGAATCATTCAAATTTTAAGCAATAAAAAAAGAACAATTAAAAAGTGATGATGAAAACAAACTACAGCTAAATTAAGCTTTGTTTTTTTTTAAATAATGACAGTTTTATAGTTTAACTGCGTTCTTGCAAATCATGCAACTGCACTTTTTCTTCTTCTTGGTAGAATCAGAGTACAGTATACTCTGCTGATTTTTTGTTGGTACATATAACAACGATCGTGTTGATTTTAGTAGGAGGAGAGGGTTCCAGAAGAGCATGGAGTTCACCAGTCCTCAAACAACCTCTCTATAAATGCCAAAAGGCAAATTATCAAAAAAGTTCCTTTGAAACGAAACATATTTAGTCAGCGCTATATTTTCAGGTACACATTGCGTCGTGGATAGATAAATATGCCAAACTAGGAGAGAGGGTCAGACTGCAAATAATCCATAAGCAATAGACCAATCCAAATCCAAAGCAATGACCAGAAAAATCCTAAATCAGATCCTACTTACTTTAGAGCAGCAGACTAGTTTTGACCCATTTTTAAAAGATAAAGAAAAACCATCATTGTATTAATTTGTTCATCTGCTCAAACAGAAACTCAAATAGATAGATAGATAGATAGATAGATAGATAGATAGATAGATAGATA